AACACGTCGTATATCAAATTCATTATTAGCGAGTGCAAGACGTAAACTAGAACATCTCGAGTCCAAATTTGAGTCCATTGGACGAATTCCGAAGTCCGACAGTACTTCAATAAATTGGATCCTTCTCATACAAATGTAAGAGTTAAAAGCATTCGTCGCTCTGGGTTAATAGTCTGACTTATAGCCATAAAAATTAGGAAATGTATGAAACACGGGCGATGACAAATATCGTCAAAGATAAAACTGTATTAAGTGATGTTCATACTCAAGACTTAGCCAACGTAAGTTTATTTCGGTGCACATACTGTAACTGATTACCGAATGCTTATTATTTTACTTACCAATTTTTTGAAAGTCGTATGCTGGAAATAGCAATAAACGGCAACACCCTGAAAATACACATACTATGAACCCAAAACAAAGGAGAATTGCTGATAACGATACTGGTGACAAATCAGAGACAGATCCGAATGATGAGGTGGATTTTGATTACAACAAAGTATCCAGTATGGATTCAAACATCGATAGCGATGCCGATGATCATAAGGTATTCCGGGATTATGACGAGTACTGCGAAGAAGAAATCTCAATAGAAAAGGTTTGTATATTAATATCTATGTTATTATCTCTTTTTGTGTTTACCTAATATTCATCCTTTCTCTTAATTTAGACCTTAACTGATCCCATTAAAAGTTGGATTTTGTCGAGTGGGAGAGATGTTAGTGTAATATTGTCTAAATACCGTGAAAAAATTCCTCGCACAAAGGCATACCTCTAGTAAGTTACACTTGATTTGTAAGCGTAAACATATTTTCCAGTGCCTGCTTCTTAACTTTTAATATTTTTATTTATAGTCCGGCTTATTTTGGAATATTAGATCTTTCTGGAGAGGATATCGAAGTAAAAAATTTGTTTATAGATGACGAATGGAATGAGATGATTAAAGATTTAAAAGTAATGTAAATTTGAGTGATTTGGAACCTGAACAAGATGAACCGCTTTATAAATTAATGTCAATTTCATTTAAAACTAATCTAAAGCTTTTAGCTTACGCATAATCCAAATCTGCAATTCTTCATTCCTATTACTTTCAATCCTTATTTTTTCCATCAAATAATCTAATTTATTGTATTTGATTTCTGTATTTACATTTAAGTAAGCTATAAAAATTTTCTATAATAATCATTAAAAATATGAATGAAATTTGCAAAAACTTTTGAAATAGGATGATTAGTACTAGTCCAATAATATATAACTAGGAACTTTGTTTCAATAGCAACTGGTCAGCAAACGCCATGGAGTAGGTGACAATGTAG